GGTCAGGCCGTAGGGGAGCGTGCCGGCCGTTCCCAGCCTCAGCCCGCGGGGAGCCGAGGGCGAGGCCTGCCTGGGTCCAGGTGTGGGCCCTCGTCCCCATCTGGGTCTAGATGACAAGCATAGCGTCCGAGCCCCTTGACTCTCTGCTGCATTTGTCTGCCACTCTTGGGCTTCTCTCTCGTGGTTGCTTCTTTTAGTTTCTCGGCCCCTAAATAAGAAGGCTCGGCCTCGGTTTTGGCCTCGCCTCTGAGGAGCAAGAAGGGGCAATGGGGACACCTTTACTCTGGCGTGCTGCGCTGTACCATCCCCTCACCCAGCAGCGTTCCCTTTTGAAAACCTGGTGTTAAACGTCTTTAGTTTTTGCCACCACAAGCGTTAGAGATCCAGGTAAGCCCAGCGGCTCCTGGGACGTCTTTTTGGTGACACTGTAGTAAGTGATCGTTTTTTTTAGGTACACACACGCGGTCAGGCACTCTGTGGGTAACAGTCCAGCTAACAGTTGTAAGGAAGCCATCAGGATGTTTAGCTCTGACACTGGGGTATTTAGGGGAGGAGCCCCTTAGGTAGTCCACAGCCATCAAAGTTTGGAACTATCTATGGCCTCACACGCAGTGTTTGAACAGGCAAGTGGTTAGGGTAAAGGTCACCTGAGGCCATTTCAAGGCCTTCTGGGAACTGTAGTTCTCTTTGGTTAAGAACTTTCCAGAGCTTCCTGGGAATTGTAGTCTTCCTTAAAACCTAAAGCAAGTTTGCAAATTTCTAGCTTTTCCAAAGACGTGAACCATGTCTCCCAGACAAAAATGCCAGAACAGACACCTGTTTGCAATAGCAGTAGGCACGCTGGCCACCTATAGTCTGTCCCCAGCACTGATACCAAACCCTGCAGGTAGAAGTCATGTGTAACGTGAGGGATACCAATTGCTTTGCTGTGTGGTACCTGGCTAGGTGCGGAGACTGTAGAACTGGGGAGGGAGTGTCCAGTTTGTCACAGCCCCTGACCTGACTGAAGGTGGGCTCCTTTGGGAATGGGACCTGCGTGACTTGTCACCTCCGGGTACTGAGGTCACAGCATCAACAGGGAGAGGCCATCTAGGGTGGGACAGTCACATACACGCAGGTGGCAGAGTATAAAGAAAAAAAATTAATTTTTTATTCTGTGGAAAACAAAGCAGAAAAACTAAAACCCCAAACTCCAGAAAAAATCCTAAAAAATATGTTTTGTATTCTTAAAAAATACTGTCTCTACTCCTCTCCCTCCCACTAACAGCCCTCCTTGTGTCCTTTTTTCTAAGTGCCCTGCCCCCACCCCTTCACTAGTCATTGTTCTTGCTATCGTACCCCCACTTCCCAGTATCTACCCAGGAGGCTCACCCCACGTCCTCTTACCTGGCACCTTAACTCTGTCCTCCCATTTTGGTGAGCCATGTACCCACAATCCCATTTCCCCAGCATGCAAGAACTGTCTCCCTCTTCCAGGTCTGGGATTCAATACTTGTTTCCCCCACCACTCCCTCTCCCAAGATCTATTCTAAACAGGAGCAAGGAAGCTACCTCCTGACAATTCCCTCCCGTTGCCCACCCACCCACCCCTACCTCAAGAAGTGTCAGAACCTTCCTTCCCCTGGGCAGCCTTGGCCAGGAAAAAACCATTTTCCAGTCTTCTCTTTTTCTCATTCTATGGAACCCTTTTCCCTCCCTCCACATATCCATGCACCTCTACGAAAATCAGTATCTCTGGGGCCCCGCGTTCCCTTGGCCTTGCCAAAGAACCCTGTCCCTAGCTCCGTCCTCTCCTGAGGAGCAGGGTCTTCCCTCCGTGGATCTCGCCCTCCCTCCGATGTCCGCCCGACCCCCACCCCCCATGCTCCTGGGCCCCGGAGCCCTTCCCCACCCGGCTCCCGCCTGCGCCTTGCCCACGGCGAGCTAGCGGATGAGGACGTTGATCTCGGCCACGCTGGCCTCCAGCACGTTCTCGGCCGTGGTCTTGCCGTGCTGCTCCTTGAGGTGCCGCCTGATGGCCGGCTTGTGAGCGAAGCGCACGTCGCAGTAGGAGCAGCGATAGGGCCGCGCACCCGAGTGCAGGTTGAGGTGGTCGTGCAACGTGGACTTCTGCGTGAAGCACTTTCCGCAGATGCCGCACGAGTGCGACTTGACGCCGCGGTGCACGTTCATGTGGCGGTTGAGGTTGCTGCTGTGGTTGAACTGCTTGCCGCAGCGCGGGCACATGAAGATGAAGTGCTGCGCGCGCATGTGGAAGACCAGCTTCTCCACGCCCTGGAACACTTCCGGGCACTTGGTGCACTTGATGTTCTTTAAGGGGTTTCCGCTCGAGAAGCCCCCGGGTAGGGGTCCCCGGCC